AAAAAAAAGCAAGGGGGTACAGATCTCAAAACCTACTATATAGCCACAGTTGTCAAAACAGCCTAATATTGGTACAATGACAGACACATAGACTAGTGGAACAGAATTGAGAACCCAGAAATCAATCCATCCATCTGTGGTCAGCTGATCTTTGAAAAAGGGCCAAAATCCATTCAATGGGTAGGAGATAGTCTCTTTCACAAATGGTGCTGGCAAAACTGGATATCCATTTGCAGAAAAATGAAACAACATCCATACCATACACAAAAACAAACTCCATATGGATCAGAGATTTAAATTTGAGATCTAAAACTATAAAGTCCGCCAAAGAAAAAATAGGAGCAACTTTCAGGCCATAATTTATGGCTTAAATAGACTATCAAGCATAATCCAAGATACACAAACAGCAGAAGAGAAACTAGATGATTGGGACCTCCTAAAAATTAAATTCTTATGTGTATCAAAAGACTTTTTCAAAAGAATAAAAAGAGAACCTGCAGAATGGGAAAAAATATTCAACAATGACATATCAGACAAACTACCTCTAAAATTTATAGAAAACTCCAATACCTCAACACCAAAAATACAAACAATTGAATTAAAAAATGGGCAGAAGAATTGAACAGACACTTCACCAAAGAATATTCAGGCAGCCAACAAACACATGAAGAAACGTTTGCGACCATTAGCCATTAGAGAGATGCAAATCAAAACAACTATGAGATAGTATCTCATTAATAGCAAAGTTCAACAAGACAGAAAATAACAAATGCTGGCAAGAATGTGGAGAGATTGGAACTCTCATACACTGCAAGTGGGACTGTAAAATGACACAACCATTGTAGAAATCAGTGTGGCAATTCCTTAAAAAGTTGGAAATAGAAATACCATTTGGCCCAGCAACCCCATTACTAGGTATATATCCTAAAGAGTGAGAGGCAGGACACAAATAGATAAATACACACCCATGTTCATTGCGGCACTATTCACAATAGCAAAGAGATGGAAACAACCTAAGGGCCCATCAACTGAGGCATGGATAACAAACTGTGGTACATGTATACAATGGAATACTTGTTGTTGTTATGTGCCGTTGAGTTGGACCTGACTCATAGCGACCACTCCTTGGATTTCCAAGGCAGTATCACTACAGAAGTAGATTGCCTCATCTTCCTTCCGAGGAGTGGCTGGTGGGTTTGAACCACCAGCCTTCTGGTTAACAGTCAAATTCCTTAGGCACTACGCTACCAGAGCTGTGCAACCCTAAAGAATAATGAAGAATCTGCAAAACACTACATGACGTGAATGAACTTGGAGGACATTATTCACAGAAAGATAAAAATTGTATTAGTCCACAATTGTGAAAAGTCAAGGAAAATTTGATACATAGAAGGAAACGTTCTTTCTTGGTTACTATGGATGAGGGGAAGGGATAGGTTGAAAAAAAAAAAGACATATACATAGAGAGAGAGGGAAATCGTAGATTATTAGTAGTTACCAAGGGTGAGAGGGAGGGGGAAAGGGGAGCTTTTGTTTGGGGGACAATGAGTTTATGCTAATGGTGGTAGAATATTTTGGAAAAGGATTAGCAATAATGGTGGCACAATATGAAAAATGTAATCAATATTCCTGAGCTGTAAATATGGAAGTTGTTATGCTGGTGAATGTCTTGTTGTATATGTTTTCACAATACAAGTAAAAAAAAAAAAAACTAGGGAACAAGCCAAAACATTTCTTTTGGATGAGGACATGACAGTTTATAGACATATAAATCAAGCAGACAAAATGAAAGTAAATTAAAAAGCCTAGGCTTATTTAGATAAATTAATCTAATCAGGAACTGTGTTATAAATAACAAATAATTACTGATAAGAAATGATTATGCATCAGAACTTAGCATGAAAATAATCAGAAGGAAAGTTTAATAAGAATTCAAGTATAGGAAATTGTAATTACAGAGAACTAATTTACTTATATGCAGTCTTCTAAAGAAATGGCATATCAAATGAAATTACGAAAAAGTGTATTATTAACTTGTTTTCATGGAGTCACAAAGTCCTTCAAGTAGCAACTCTAGTAAGTACACTACTGGTGATACTAAGAATCATTTTTATTCATGCATTCCTTTTTCTCCCCACCCTAGCAAATAATTATTAAGAACCTATTATGTACTAATCACTCTGTTTGGTGTAAACAAGATGAACACATCTCTGCCTTCTCTGAGCTTATGATGTATCAAGGAAAATGACCAGTTAAATATATGATAATACCAATAAAAGAGGAGAACATTATAATAGAGTTTTTTGTTATTAGTTGCCATAGAGTAAATTCCAACTCAGGAGAACATTATAATAGAGCTTTTGTTATTAGTTGCCATAGAGTAAAATTCCAACTCATGGTGATCTTATGTATAATAGAGTGAAACATTGCCCAGTCCGGTGCCATCCTCATAATTATTGGTATGTTTGAGACCATTGTTGTAGCTATTGATTCAATCCATCTTATAGAAGGTTTCCCTCATTTTCACTGAACCTCTACCTTACCAAGCATGATGTCCTTTCTAGTGATTGGTCTTTCAGAACAGATAGGGGAACTAGTTCATCTAGAGCAGTAGGACTTAACATGGCCAAGGAATCCTGGAAGGGCTTCTTGAGAAAAAGCATTTGTCACCTAAATTTTGCAGGTTCATTAAAGGATAGCCAGGTGAAATGGAGGCAAGATGTTGTTAGACAAAAGGAACAGTATATGCAAAGTCTTTGACCTCTTTGCAAAGAAGTAAAAGATGTTAAGTATGACTAGAAGAGAAGGCGAGAGCTGAGGAGAAACAAGCAGGAGCCAGCTCATGCAATGTATTTTTGAACCATTTTAAGGAGTTTAGATTTACCCTAAGGGTAATGAGGTACTAGTAATGGCTAAATGCATCTCATTTTCATTTTGGGGAGCTCCCTCTGGCTGTGTTATAAAGAGTAGGCTGGACCCAAGGCAGGACAGGAAGCACAGGGGTCAGTGTGGAGACTCTTGTGTATATATACGCATGCACAGAGTTGCCAAAGCAAGACTTCTTTAGAACCGCATCTCTGTACCTGGAAGACTCTCACTTGCTGAAGAAACCATGCTGTAAAATGGTTGGCCATTCATTCCTTCAGGAAAAGCCAGAAGACTGAGCAATTCCTCTACTGATGCCAAATATGCCTTCATGCAGATCCTATCTTCTTCAACCTATAATATACCTATTATTTTTATGTTTGTGTCTCTACTCAGTGCCCTCTTTTACCTTTAGAATGCAGGTAGAGCATGTCCAACCTTGAATAGAAGAGAAGGTAAGAAGGATTAAGGAGATTTTTGTTGTTTGTTATTGTTCCCCCTCTTTGAGCAAATGCCAGTAGCACATTAAATGACTCTAAGAATAGACTTCCCCACTTGTCTGTTAGTTTGTCATACTGTGGTAGCTTGCATGTTGCTATGAGGCTGGAGGCTACGCCACCAATATTTCAAATACCAGCAGGGTTACCCATGGTGGACAGGTTTCAGCAGAGCTTCAACACTAAGACAGATTTGAGAGTTCCGGCAAGATGGTGGACTAGGCAGAAAGACTACACAGACCCTCTTCAACAAAGAAA